GAAAGCGAGAGGGGAACAGAAGAGAAGACAAAGGCAACACAGGCGGGACCGCGTTGACCGTGTCAGCACTGAAGGACCACGCGCAGCCAAAGCCGCAACACCCATCGCCATACCATGCCCCGCCCAGGTCCCTCGCTTTGCCTCTCTTGTTCTTCTCCCCGCTTCGTTCTCGCTCCTCGGGATTCGCGGGCGCGCTGCGGTGGCCGCTGGCCGCGGGCTCCCTGCGGTTCAGAAAACCCAAGAAAAAGGAGAGAGAAGAGCCGAGAAGACGCACGCGCAGCGCGTCGCAGCCTGCCCGGCTCCGGCCCCAGACTCAGCGCAAGCGGCAGGCCTGGCCCGGGTTTCGAGCATGCTGCGGGTTTCGGCCGCGCTTCGAGCTCCAGGCGTGCTTTGGGCGCGTCTGTTTGGTTTGAGGCCGGGCGGGCTCCCGTCGGGTTTGGTCGGTTTGCGTTTGGGTTTGGTTTAGGCAAGCGCCTGGGCCGAGGCCTGGCGAGCTGGGCCCGGTGTGGGTTTGGTCTACGTTTTGTCTGGGTTTGGTTGGAATAAGTTCGGCCCACGTCTAAGCTTGGCCCGGGTCTGGGTTCGGTTTGGCCTGAGCCTGCTCCGGGTTTGTTCCCGGTTTGGTTTGGGTTTGGTTTGGGTTTGGTTTGGGTTTGGTTTGGGTTTGGTTTGGGTTTGGTTTGGGTTTGGTTTGGGTTTGGGTTTGGTTTGGGTTTGGTTTGGGTTTGGTTTGGGTTTGGTTTGGGTTTGGTTTGGGTTTGGTTTGGGTTTGGTTTGGGTTTGAGTTTGGGTTTGGGTTTGGTTTGGGTTTGGGTTTTGTTTGGGTTTGGTTTGGGTTTGGGCTTGTGTTTCTTTCAGCTTGGTTCGTGTCTGGTTTGGGTTTGGTTGGTTTGGTTTGGGTTTGGTTTGGGTTGGGTTTGGGTTTGGGTTTGGGTTGGGTTTGGGTTTGGGTTTGGGTTTGGTTTGGGTTTGGTTTGGGTTTGGTTTGGGTTGGGTTTGGTTCGAGTTTGGTCCGGGTTTGGTTTGGGTCTGGTTTGGGAGGGCTCGGATCAAACAGAGACAAGGGGCAAGGGCAACCCTAGGCAGCTTCTGGCGACTTTGTAACTCCTCGCGAAACTCTTAAGCGAAACCGTTAAGGGACAGTGGTACTTCTGGGCCGTTTTCGATATTTTGCCACTTTTCTCCCCTCTACAACGTCACGAGACGAGACGGAGGCAACTCGGCGAAGCATGAAAAAACGTGGAGCGAAAAACTTTGGCGAGTGTCCTCGCCGAAGCTTGTCGCGCCCACGCCTCGCCGGCGCCCGTGTTTTTTCAGGCCTTGCGTGCCGTGCTAGAGGGGTCCTCGCTCCTGCAAACTGCAGGCGGAGAACCCAGCCGCCTGCTCCTATGGTTTCCCTTCTGCTGCGTTGCTGGTTATTTTCTGGAGACGCACGGCGCCCTTTCTCGGAGTGTATTGCGTCACGCTCTTGCGCTGCGCTACACGATACAGCGACAGGGCAAAAGAGGCGCGGGGACCTCTGGCGGCTAACTGCAGAAACGGAGAGGAGGCCGCCAGACTAAAAAAGTCCACGCGTGCCTTGAAAAAGGGACCGGCCCGGGAGGTCAGCAAATACTGGCGGACATGACCCGGGCGGGCTTGCTTGCATCCTCGCGGCTGATTTCATGGACCGAAGGGAGAGGAACCGCATGGGAGTAGTTCTCTGGCCTAGCTTCATGCTTTGGCCTTTCTCGGAAAGCCTTCGGCCGTTCTCAAAAAGCCTTCGGCCGTTCTCACGGGTGAAATATATGAAAGGCCATCAGTTTTCTGATCTATTATAAAAGGACGCCTAGAACGGCCGAAGGCTCTTCGAGAACGGCCGAAGGCTTTGCAAGAAACGCCGAAGGCCTTTTGAGGGCGGAGGCCTTTTGAAATAGGCACAGGAATACAGCTAAGCGAGAGGGCTACTCCCATTCCATTTCTCCTCCTTCGGCCCAGGGGGATCAACCGCCCAACTTTGTAAGAAGTCCACGCGTCGCCACTTATAAGACCGCCTGACCCGCCCCCGCGCCCCTCGTGAGTCCCAGAGGCCGGCCCTGGGGGCGCCGTGTTGGCTGCGGGACCGTGTCAGCGTCTCAACAAGAAGCATGCGCCTGGGACTCACGAGGGGCGCGGGGATCGGTGGGGAAGCTTTTGGCTTAGTTGCTAAGCTTCCCCTTGGCCAAAGGAACGCTAGAAGACAGACGGGCACCCCTTTGCCATTTGGTGCTGTGCGTGTGTGTCGTTTGTTGTCTATCTGGCTAGGTCATGGGTGAGAGGGGAGCCCGCGCGCGCCTGTTTTGCGGAGAAAGATGGCAGGGATTTTTTGGGGAACAACGCCACACAAAAGAAGGGCGCCGAAGATCTTTTGGGCGACGATGCCGATACGCTTTAACGTGACGGCGCAGAGGTAGGAAAAAGGGCAGGGCGTATGAGAATGGAAAAGCCGCGAAAGCTCTCGCAAAAAACCTGCCAGGTTGTTGACCGTTTTGCGAGTCCCTTAGCCGTTTCGAATTCGCGAAATGTCCTCCCTTAATGGTTTCGACTTTCATGCGGGTATCGGTTTCGAGGGGATCCTCGCGAAACTCTTAAGCGAAACCGTTAAGGGACAGTGGTACTTCTGGGCCGTTTTCGATATTTTGCCACTTTTCTCCCCTCTACAACCCCTATCGACCGTTTAAATACGTAAGCCCCATCAGATAAAGGACTCCGGGGAGATTGAGTTGTATATATTCTACCAATTAAAAAAAAATCTATCTATTTTTTCCTCCTGGTTCGGCTTCCAATGTACGAACTTTTTCAGGGAAAACCTTCCCTTCTTTTTAGGCTTTTCTTCTATAATCATCATTAAAAATTCATCATTTTTTTAATTGTTTCAACCTATATAAAAAAATCTCAAAATATTAATGCCAACATTAAAATGTTGGCGAGAACGTTGGCAGACTTTAAGAGCATGGAATTATGAATTCCTGCCAACCTGCCACCATATTAATAATAAAGGAGAATAAATATGTATTTTCTTTATATTATTTCGGTGGCAGGTTGGCAGAAATCCATTATTCCATGCTCTAAAAGTCTGCCAACGTTATTGCCAACATTTTAATGTTGGCATTCCTATATTTAATTAATTTACGTATATTTAATTTAGTTACATAAAATTGTTAAAAAAAAATATCGTTTGCTACTTCTTCTTATTTAATTAATCTCACCCAACCGTAAGATCTCTCCCCAGAAGGGTAGAGATTTGTCCTACAAGCTTGAGGATGTTCTCTAGTGCTATGACTTCCTTGGCTTCATGGATTTTCCAAGGAGAACCAAGCGAAAAAAGGAACGGACATAGGACCCACCACGATTCCTATGGAGCACCAAGCAAGTCAAAGCACTGGGTTGGCTTGATTGGTTCCACGTGCTGGATCCAATTGGACTGGGTGCATTTGCTTCGTTTTTTTGTAGCTGGATCAATCTGCTCCAGTAGGTAGGACCAACGCAACCAACTCAGGCAGCTGGGTCGGATCTGCCTCACCTGGTTGCGTTGGTCCTACCCACTGGATCGGATCGATCCAGCTACAAACAAAACCAAGCAAATGCACCCAGTCCAATTCGATCCAGCATGTGGAACCAATCTAACCAACCCAGGGCTTTGACTTGCTTGGTGATTCCTATGGAGCACCAAGCAAGTCAAAGCACTGGGTTGGTTTGATTGGTTCCACGTGCTGGATCGAATTGGACTGGGTGCATTTGCTTCGTGTTTTTGTAGCTGGATCAATCTGCTCCAGTAGGTAGGACCAACGCAACCAACTCAGGCAGCTGGGTCAGAGGTTCCACGTGCTGGATCGAATTGGACTGGGTGCATTTGCTTCGTTTTTTTGTAGCTGGATCAATCTGCTCCAGTAGGTAGGACCAACGCAACCAGGTGAGGCAGATCCGACCCAGCTGCCTGAGTTGGTTGCGTTGGTCCTACCTACTGGAGCAGATTGATCCAGCTACAAAAAAACGAAGCAAATGCACCCAGTCCAATTCGATCCAGAACGTGGAACCAATCAAACCAACCCAGTGCTTTGACTTGCTTGGTGCTCCATACCAGCTGCCTGAGTTGGTTGCGATGGTCCTACCTACTGGAGCAGATTGATCCAGCTACAAAAAAACGAAGCAAATGCACCCAGTCCAATTCGATCCAGCATGTGGAACCAATCTAACCAACCCAGGGCTTTGACTTGCTTGGTGCTCCATGGGAATCGTGGTGGGTCCTATGTTCCTCCCTTTTTTCGCTTGGTTCCCCTTGGGACTCGATTGGTCCGACACAATGCATAGAACCAATGGAATCATCTGAGACAGACCCGATCGAGTTGTCTCGGTTGGTTGCCTTGGTTCCTTGCGCGTGATCGCGTTAATCCAAAACGAGCACGGAGCAAGCAAATGCAGCCACAACCGAGCCAGGCCTCTCACCTGGTTGACTCGATTCGTGGAATTATCAGTTTTCTCTATTATACCTAGACTTAATTTAAGAGCATCATCCTGGAATTGTGATTAGTTCTAGGTACTAACGTCGCGAGACCTCTACCATCGGCGCACTCTTCTGCGCCAACAACGAACGAACAGTTCTCAGCTGAATATTGGAGAAAACGTTTCTGGGCCAGTGATACCGCGAACAAAACAAAAATAGAAAGTTTAGAACAAGATAAGAAACAGCTAACGAATCTCCTCAATCAAGAAATCGATCGAAGTCATGAATTAACGAAAGACATGCAGAAACAATTCTACTTTCATAGGAATGACATCAATTTCCTCATTGTCTTCATCATCCTCCATTACATCGCGCACGGATTCGTATATTTCAAGTTCGTCGGAAATGAAGGTATATTATTGATAGAATAAATAGAAGAATGGATGATAACAGCGAAAGTGAAGTAGTTGCAGCTTCTAGGATCATCAATCAAGTTCAAATACGTCCATTCTCCAATGAACACTTTTGAAAGGTCCAGCCTCGAGCATGCAATCGCAGTTAGATGGATCACTTGATCCACCCTCTGCTTCTGGTTCTTCTTCTTCTGGAATCCCTCGATGATGGATCAGTACGCATGGGATGATGTGGAAGAAGTCACACGATCAGCTTCGAAGGAGTCGGAAACAGTATAATTAATATTTTGATTTATTTCTATCAATTTCATTTTTTTGATACACATACTCTATTAATAATTGCCTTCTTGGAAGTTTTAGTATCATACCAAAAATAAAAATTATCAAACTTACGCTCAATCATACAGTATCACCAACATCCATTTATCAGGTGCAGCTACACTTTCAAGGAGAAGAATCTACTTTCATGCTGCAGCGACATCACTTAAATTGTTCATGATTGAAGCTGAAGCTACATTTTCATGGTGGAACTAATTATCGAAGCGAATATGAGAAGTTGATGAGTTGCTTACGACCCGCCAGGAGAGAAATTATCCATGGAGAATCTTGATATATCGCACATCAAGCATGGTTTTAATCAATCAAAAAAATATTTTACTAGGGAATATATATCGAGGGAAAAAGGATATAGTGTAATATAATGTTTAATTACATCTTCAAGGGAACTGAAATTAAAATAAGAACTCACAGCTTGAGGCGCGTAACGGAGGCACTTAAGGGGAACGCCCAGGCAACAAATATAGCAGCAGAATACAGCTACCAGCAGCACCAAAGACGGCCCAACTTTCTGCATGAAATAGCAGCACAAAGTNTCTGCTACGAGTTCAAGCATTCAGACCTAAAATCAAAACAAAAAACATTTGGTGCTCATGTTGTAGTATGAACCAACTAGAAAAAAAAATAACTGTATCCAAAATATGTCCGAGGGAATCTTGATACTAAATTTCTAAAATCATAAAGAGAGCATCATTGTGTTGCCACCTCTTGAGGACAAGATCCATGTGATCAATTGAGGATATAGATCCTACCTTCAACGATGTCGGTCGTATCGGTAATTACAATCTGTAATTTTCAATCGGTTACGGATCTGAACTATTCATGGATACAATGATGGAGATGCTTCTTCCATCATGCTTGCTTCTACTTCTTTATACGTCACTAATTCATTTTTAAAATTAGATTTTGTGTTGCTTTCCTGAATTTGATGGATAAAGATTCCTGAGCCAACACTTACAATTCTATGTGATTGATGAATAATGAAATATTGATCATTTCGCTACGATGGGTAAGAAAAAAATATGCATTCCTCCGATCGAAGAAGCCTCAGAACAACCTCTTCCACAGCCCAAGAAGCGAGGCCGACCAAAAAAAGAAGACTTGGCAGAAAATGAAGCGAAGAAAAAAAAAAAGATGTCTTTGGAGAATAAAGAACAAGTTACTTCTAGAACAACTTCAAGCAAGAATCTTTCGAAAAAATCATCATCTTCATCTGGAAACATTCCGCAAGACAAAGACAAGGCATTACCATGCTTGACGAATACTCGGAACGAAGGAAAAGCTGCAGCTTCAACTAAAGGGAGAAAAACAAAGCAAAAGTCAACCGATCTGATTGAAGCAAAAGGATCAAATGCACCAACAAACAAATCTTCGACCATAAAAGCTTTCCGTGGTGGTGGACCAGAGAAGGTAACTAACTTCATTTCGCAACAAATCTAGTTACTTGATCAACTACATTCTCATGATCATTGTGCTTAAATGACATTCATTTTTACTTTTTCAATTTATTCTAATAAATCTATCACAGAACGAATACGAGAAAAATAAAGTGGAGTTGCCTCTGAAGATGAATCTCCTACCTGATTCTCACCATGGTGGATCAGTCTTTGCTTGTGAAGAAGCGCCGGAAGAGAAGGATGATCCAGATCGTGACCCAATATTCGATGAATCGATGTACGCACTCCAATACAGCGCAAAAGACAACACCCACATCTCCACGAAGCTACAACTCAACTCCAGCGCTGACCTATTCGACCACGACATGATGGAAAAAGAAACTCAGTTGGATGCTAATATTGAATACTTGTTACTTGGAGTACAAGACGAGAACGATGAAAATCTGGATCAAGGGTTGCTCCCTTGTCCGATGATGGTGCAGAACGAGTCTACACAACCTACAAATTCAGTAGTGGAGCTTCCTCGTTTACTTGATGAAGCTACTCATCTCCAGCCACTAGTCTCCCCAACAACTTCTGAAGCATCCAGCACGCGAGTGTGCGATGGAGATCCTCTAGAGGATGCAGATAATGTGGCTAAGGATCCAGAAAATGCGATTGCTTTCCCATGGGGAGCCTGGAGTAATTTAATAATTACACTTGTTCGTCCAAAATGAATCATTCCATATTCAATTTCTCTCATATAATTATTGTACTTTGTTCAATATACAACTATCATTTTAAGATACAATTGCGCTACCTTCCGGACCGGAGAAGACTGCAGGCGGGCACGGATATCCGACATATATTTAAGGACATCAATTTCATCCATCCACTTCAAATTTACAAGTATCAACTACAACCATACTAATTCTTGACATCATTCAATTCTAATCTATGGTAACGTTTTCTTTTCCAACCAGCTCGATGATCAAAAAGTTTCCGAACATAGCGAAGCCCACGGACTTCACCGACGAAGAATGGAATCAGCTAGTGGTGGATGGACATAGAATAAATGTACTTATTTCCTACCTTCCGTTCAATCATTGAATTTTGAAATCATATAGAACTCCCTAACTTACCTTTCTGATTTTTTAATACTATTATTATTCTCCAATAAATTAATCTTTCTCATAAATTTTTCAGGGAGTTGAACTCAAAATCGTCGGAATACGAAGAGAAAAAGGCAAAAAAGGAAAGCATATTCACCTTCATGCTATTGTGACCGCGGGAAACTCTCGGAAGTTATGAGATCATAAGCTCTCTACTGACCAACATCACCCCTAGAGCATACGAAAAAAATGGACTCATAAAACTCTGCTATGTTAATGACCATTCTAATAAATCGCAGGAACTGGAAAAAGACTGCAATCTGGTTAGCAGAAGTCAAGAAAGTTTTCACACATTATTCTTCGATTGGTTTGGCTGCAGGTATTATTCTTTTTTATTCTTTCATTAATCATTCATCGATAAAAATTGATATAGGATATATCATGAATTCAAGAAACTAAAACCTACTTCACATCAAGATCAAAGTTTCATCACTCAGACTCAACTATACAGGTATCCACTACTTATACTACAGTAGTAGTAGAAAGCATTCAGCAGAATTTATCGGAGGCATGTTGATGTGGTACGGTTCTGGTGTTCCGCATGTACCACCACAAGAACTCGCAGACTTAAGAAGTCAAAATAATTCATTTGCAGCGCTCTCCACAAGTATGAATATATACAGAATATAGTGGGCGAAGGCTGCACATGAATAATCTCTTTTTCTAATACATGGATCTGCAGATAGCTTTGCAAAGACCCAAATGGTATTCTTAATAATTTATTACTTGAGAACTATCTTTTTCATTATTAATAATATATTTATACTCCCAACATTTCGATCTACCATCGCAGGACTTCCTCGAATTCCGGGAACTAATCGAGCAAGAAGATATCATCGACATCCTGGAGTGCCAGTTAAGACATTGAAATCTTAATTACGTGATGGGCCTAAGCATTTGAATGCATCTACTAACTCTACTAAACATCAAACTTCCTTCAATTCTCTAACATCCGCAAGAACAAAAGAAAATGCTCGATTGGATCAATATCTTTAAGAAGTTTGATAGATTTATATCGCGGATTATTCACAAGAATAACGTGAATTATCCACGAACCATAAATCTATCAAACAAAAAAAACATTCCTCCAATTACTGAACAACCGAGCCCACGACCCATCCGCAATATTCAAAAATTAAGGATTTATTACAACGTCAATCCATCTAATGCTTTACATCGAGTGATAGAGTGCTTAAGTCTCATTTTGCAAAATTATTCTAAGCCAAAGCATTACGAAGCATCGCCATGCGGAACTTCCTTCCGAAGCCTCTTTATGAGGTAGCCCGAAATTACCACAAGTCCCGAAGAGCAGCGTGCATATGTGAAGGCCTTAAGACTCGAAGCGAAAAACTCGCATCGCATGACACAGCATAAAGAAAATATTAAATACTTACTCACATGATGTCCATAATCTCTAATATAAGCTTCCGGAAAGCATTCCGACAATTCTCGAAAACCGTACAGATCGTTGGAGACGAACACAAACATCTTCAAGGAGCAGAAAACTGCATCTCAGTGATCCTCATAGTGTGGATGATTCGCGGGCGGATAAGAGGAAATACTTTAGTATTCTTTATGAAAGAACAGAACTTATTTACTCATTCTAATTTCATATATTCCGTTAACATATAGAGGACATTCATCAAAGCTTGTTGCTCCTCTAATAAATACGGCCAAGAAGGGACCGGGAAGAGCTGGACGATTTATGGAAATCTCATCCATCAATTAGTTCATCCTGAAACTCATGAACATCAAGCAGGATCAATAGAATTGATGGATGATATTTCGTTTTTTCTTCATTCTATGGAAGCTTTCAAAGACATCCTAAATTATGTTCCTATCCCTCTAGATATGTGCGATTGAATCGCACATCTAGAGATCATTCCTCACTTTTAGTCTCTAATCTTAAGAGGAATTCTACGAAGCTCCACAGCCTGCAGGATCTTACGTAAGGAATAATTATTTATTCTGAATTTTCATCTTAGATTATTCAATAACCTTATAGATGATTCCACTGTATCATACATTTACCACAAACTATTCTCCTTTAACTAATATTCCCTTTTTACAATTATGCAGGCACTCCAGCGACTCGGAATGTTACTGCCTCCGACGAGGTGCTTTTTATTGGACGAACTTTCAAGGGATGGACTGACGAAATTATTTGGCGATAAAGGATATTGTTATGAAATCTTTCTACTTAATTACAAGGATTAGCTTACTATCATCCACCTTATGACCCTAGGATGATCACAAGCACCAAAAGAAACAACCCACCTCCCCGTTCATATTACGAAACAGTTCCTGCAAGTGCAAACAACACGACTTTAAGCATCTCATAGTATCACTCAAGGAATCAATCTTTCTCATTTTCAATACCTAAAACTTCAGAAAGATTGCTTCCTGGAGTGCATCCTTATTATTACTAATTCCTTTTAAGACCCGCCTTCCCCAAGAACTCCACGCCGGATCGAGAAATATTCGAGTACTACAGCCGAACGATTCTACATTTTCTAACTACTTCCTTTCATCATTCCCAAACAACATAATACAACTCCAACTACACAAGTCACCACATCCGAAAAACCAAACCATTCTTGATGGATCCCAACGTCCTACAATTTCAAAACAGCGATCCGGCACCATTTTGGTACACAGCCACAAGATTAAGGAAGTATTTAATTTTCTCTGAAGATTCACAGATTACTACTCTTCAATCTATGAATCTTCAATGAGAAAAATAAAAAACTATCTTTTTCAAATCATCTGGTCCGATTACAATGTGGAGACGATGGCTTTGACCTTGAAGAGCATGTGGTCAATGAGAACAAACAGCAACAGGATCGAGAAACCGGAGTATTAAGGCTTGCTCTTCCATATATCCTAATACCACAATAGAAGACTCTTCATATTATTTTCAATCAACCCCCTACACATCCTATCCCATCCACTTTTCAAATAACCGCACGACCAAGAAGCTACATATCGCTGGTAGTTCTGCTATTCCTGGATGCGGATACTGCCTTTCTTATGAATCTATAGTAGATCAATCCATGAAGTTCCGTGTTCAGTATCATAGCAGAACAGAACACGCAACTACCCAGAAAGGAATTTATTGATCTACTGGAGCTACTAAGAGATTCAAGAATTAGACGAAACAGGAGACGATGATGATATTTGTTGGCCATGTGATGTACAGCCTCGAAAATATAAAAGATTATGAATCTACACATCTAGAAAGATTTATCTTTGTACAGATATCGCAACATTATCATAAATGAATCTGATTCTTCCATTGGTTATCAACTTACAGAAAACATAAATTCCATCTTCCAAATGTGTTCCATTCAGAAATATTTTCTATTGTATTCATTTCGAATTCTTGTTCTTCAATGATTCACATACAACACCAAAGTGAGTTTCTCCTCCATTCCATGCGAGCAACATCATAATCCTTTTCATATAGATCACAGAAAATGTACGCACCGCTATTGCCATGACACGAAAATCCGTTCCCAATGCTAAACTCATTATAACTTCAAGTGCTGCCACGAAAGTTTGTTCCCAATGCTAAAGAGATGAACGCGAAAAAAAAACAATCTGATTATCATCCATCTTGCAAGCTTTTAGTTTTCTTATTTTTCATTGAGAAAAGCATATGGTGGCAAGGCAGTACTTTTTTTTTGTGCTGATAAGCTTTGAAGATCTTTGATGTATGAATGTGAAATTGAAGAATTATCTTCTGAGTGGGCTAATGTGTGACGAAAAGAACTTGATTTATTTGATTGTGAAAGAAATGTTAGGGGGAGGGAATAATTAAAAGAAAACAGGAAGGCTGAAAGTTTCCCTTTGGTGATGTGTTAATAAGGTTTTTCGTATGTTGAAAGTGTTCGGGAATCTGTGTGAAATATTCGGAGGAAGGTTTTAGGAAATGTTTAATTGAAAGCTGAGAAATCGTTTCGTGATTCGTATGAGATTGTAATCTCAGTAGAGAGATGGGTAGAAAACGATGGGATAAGAAAAGGAGGATGGAAAGTAGTGGAGACCGTCGAGTAGCAGAAGCAGTAGAAAATGAAAATCGTTCTCCTGTAGGTCCCGGCGAAGGGGAGAATGTTGAAGCGTCGATCTCCCAGCCTGTACAACTTGATGGACCAATAGTTGATGTAGGTTTTGATGGATCTTCTGGTTTAGAGCTTTCAAATTTTTTGAATGTTGGCTCATCTCAAAGTCTGAGTATTGTCAATCCTTCGGAATTAGTAGTCTCGAATATCTTGGCTTCGTCGTCAAGTTATTGTATGTCTCAGGGTACGACACCTATTGCAGGTATTAGTGGAGCTAATAGCTCATCTTTTTCTCAATCGCTGGGTTCTTCTTCACTCGTCTATAAATATAAAATAGACCTTACTAGTATTGGTGGCCCGTATCTGCATTTTTTTTCCATTGCTCCTCCACCTCTAGTTCTACCTTCTCTTAGTGTAGAAGTAACACCTAGATTTCAATAGATCATGTCCTGCAAGGAGAATGAAGCTCCCAATGTGGAGAATGGGAGTGAAGATTCTTCTCCCTTGAAGCGCATGGCAGCATTGCTGGAGGAGATGGGTGGACAACCCGACTTGAAGAAGGCGCTACTGGAGGTTGTGAAAAATGGGAGTGGGACATGTTCTGGTGGTGCTTCAAGTAGTGAAAAAAATCCAGCATCCAGCACGCAGTTATCTGCAAATGAGTTGATGCCTCCAGCAGCTACGCAGGTGTCAGTGGAAGAAGTGTCATCCAGTAAGGAAGTGGTAGAGGAGTCTAAGGATGTGGTAAAGGAAGGCTCTGCTGCAGTTGGAGGAGCCGTAATCGACGAAGAAGAGAAGCTTTACATGGAAAAGGTTCGTCGCATTGATCCAGCATGTGATCCGCGATGTCCGATTATGAAGGTATAGGAATTGCATGAATTGATGATGGTGTTTTCTTCTTTTGGAGAATCTTAGTTTTGGGAGTTGAAGTATTGATGGTTCTTCCTTTCATCCAACTTTACAGTTCTTGATGACGAAAATGGATGAGTATCGAGATATGAAGATAGAGCAAGCGATGCAGCCGAATGAACTTGATTTGGTGCAGTATGCGATCAAGAACATGCAGCATTTCGAATTGATTATGGATTTGTGTCACGATCAGCATGATTTCATGCCGATGTGGAGATACTACATGACGAACGATCGAATTCAGTAATTCTTACAACTTTTATATTTATGAGTGTTTGTTTCTCTTGGTAATTGATCGAGCTTCTTCTTTATCTTGAGTAATTGTTTTAACATGCACGGATGGATTGATCTTCCTTGTATACCTTAAACAGGGGCTTGATCGAGATGAACAAGCTGAAAGATTGGGATATGAAGGTTATCGAAAAATTCAAAAATGATGAGGGGAAGGAAAACAAAAAGCGATGGTTGGACTGGATGCCAAGTGAGGTATTGCTATAGCATTGCTTCTTTTAGGTACAAGGTATTTTGTAATGTGGTGGATATTGAATAAGTTGTGAATTTTTTTTAATTTTCGTTCTTATAGTTATTCGGAGAATATTAGTCTCGTCATATCTTTTATTTTTTCTTTTCAGCGTGCTTTCTTCGTGAAATTGGAACTATTGGCTCGGTTTGTGGAAGAATATGAAGAAGAAATATTATCGAGGGTTCCAGCCGAAGGAGCAGCACAGACGACGTTCACGCAGATTCTATATATGTGCGTGATCTTATGGAGCATGTATTTGTTCATCTGATTTCTTCTGTGAGTATGGAGCTTTCCTTTTTTTTTTTTTCTAATCATTGGTGGGAAACCAACATTCAACGATGGACATCGTGCGCAGTGTCGAACTCTTTTGAATCGGTGCAAGCTTAGCTGGACGCTATTGGGGTATCGGGTGATGAAGCTGTTGGGGAAGATGGATAAGAAACAGGTCTTCATGGCGTACCATCAAGTGAAGTGGTATTATTTTCTTTTTCATCATCTTGATCCAGGAATTACGAATCATGTATGAAAAAGAAGCTTTAGAAATATTTGAGATTGTCCTTTAATCATGATTGCAGGGGCAACCGGAACTAGATGATGGAGCTTGATGGATATTTGGTATGAGGAATGGTTGCTCGGGTGAACGTGAAGGAAGGAGTTCGCGGATGGAGATCGTGATGTGGAGTGGTGTTTTTTTGTGGACGTGAAAGCAGAAGTTGAGCCTGAACTCGAGGACAGTGAATTTTTTATAGTATTCGAAATATTATGTATGTAGGATTATGATGGAGCTCTTCAATCTCTGATTGGTAGGTGTTATTTCCTATATCAGATGAATGCATTATGAAGGTATGATACTGGTATGAGCCGAAGATTAGTAGGTGCTATTTCCTATATCGGAGGACTTGTTCCTTAATGTATCATAGGAGTGATAAGAATACTGATATTCTACTAATGTCAGAAGCTATGTTGAATATAATTCAGAATAAGTCGTGTCTATCTCTTTTCAGTATGGATGTATTCTCGAGTCTTCATTTTGAGAGCTTTTCTGGAAGAAGTAATAATTAATCTGATTGAAGAATGTAGTTCGAGATTGATGAGGAAGGCATGAGATGGTAGTTGAGTATACTGAATGAGAGTGCGTTTTTATGGATTGAGTGATCGATCAATGAGAAACTTGTGAGAATAATTAATAAGTTTTCGTCTGGAATTGATGGATCTCTTTGAGACGTGAGAAATTCTATCTGTTGCGAGTCGTTGTTTTGTTGAGGCCAATCGAGTAAAAGTCTGACTCCGTATCTGAGAGTGAATTGATTTTACTATAGGTAGAGTAGCTTTATATTCTTTGATCATGGGAGGACTGTAGTTCTTTCTAATGACCAGGAACGATTATTCAAATAATTCCACTTTTTGTAATCCCCTCAAGAATTTTTTATTATTTCAATACTATCACCTTTCCCCAAGATTTCATCATTATTATTGATTGCGAGAAGAATTCCAATCTTCTTAATTACTTCATTCTTTTCTCATCGATTGTTCATCTTTTGTGTTGAGTGTTTTGTTCTTGGATATCTTGGTTGTGACCATTGCAAGATTGTACATGTAAATTGATCTTCTACATGGATGAAAAGTTTGATCATTGATTTCCTATCGAGTTCTGGCATCTTGTATTTTTGAAACCATCGCTCAGAATTCATTTGAAGGATTGAGTCCTTCAAAAGGGAAAAACTTATGTGCATGCGCTGAAGCTTTCGGAAGAATGTTCCTTGGTCCTAACATAAGAGCTAAGCACTTCGGGAGGAAGTATTGCTTTCCGGTGTATGATATGAATGCTATGAATCATTGGAGTATTGAAACTTTGAAAAAGCATAGGGAAAAGTGTAGGGTGAGGCTGAGGAAGTTGGTGGATGATTTTGTAGCAATGGGGGGGGATATTGCGGAAATGCCAGAAGTCCCGGAGGTGTGGGAGAGTGGGGAAGAAGGGGATGGTGTTGATGGGATGGAGGAGGTGCCGGATGATAGGAAGAGACTAGAGCAAGAGAGGAAGAAGCTGAAGAGGATGAAGCTAGAACTAATAAAGGAGAGCTCCGCGAGTGCCTACTATAATCGGAAGCGGCAGAGAGTTAGTTCCAGGGGTGGGGTGCAGAATGGTGCGAGGATTAGGGTGGAGGAGAAACTTGCCGCGGATATAATAAAGATCAATAGGCTGGGACTAGTGCCATGGACTCCACATAAGATCCAGGCCGAATTCATCGAAAGGATGATAGCCGAAGGGTGTGCGGACTACTATGGTGTGAAGCATGGCGTGGGCCACAAGCATACAGATAAATGGCATAGATCTTTTCGAGATCGGCACGACTTGAAGAGGATTTCGAATATTCACGTGGGGACGGTGCGATCCGATGAAGAAGTGAGGCGAGAGATATTCTACACTTGGGGGAGGTGGATCCGGTTCCTGGAGTTGGTACGATTGAAGTGCCTGCAGGTGGAGAGAGAAACCGGCAAGAAGGCGATCGTTATCAGATGCAACATGGACGAGACGTATGGACCAGCATGCTCGTGATTATTTCCTTCGGGTGGGTCTGGTTGTCTCATTGAATACGAGACCAGTCCCGAGGCATAATAATACCGAGGAAGTTGAATCTTCTAAAGTTTTTTCCTTCGTTCACACTCCGAGGCTAGGGCAGTGGTTGTGCCGAAAAATGAACCCAAGAGAGTGAACAGGAGCTGGCATGGCGCGAAGAAGACTACCACTATGGCCATGGGCGATCTCTAAGAAAGTCCGAGCTTTCTCCTAAATTTGGAGGGATGGGAGAATGGTTCGCAGGTGATTAGTTAGAGATCGCCCGCTTCTAAGTGCTAGGAAGGAGCTACTGGAGTATTTTTGATTACTGACTCGCCACTCGTGAACTTCAAGCCGACGATCATCTTCCCCAAGATCCGACCAAGCAGAGAGATCAAAAGGAAGGTAGTTGAAGTTTGGGATGGATGTGCGTACATCAATACGGAAGGAAACTCGACCGGAAAGCACACCGTGGATGGGATGATGATGCAGCAAATTGCGGAGAGAATTGTCTCAGAGAAAAAGGAGTGGGAGAAGAAATTACGGAGGAGCATGGTGCTCATTTGGATCATGGACCCACTTGGTGCCCACCAGATGGATGATGATTATAGGGAAAGCATTCTCGAGGATGAGAATCTTATCCTTCCGTTCTTAATACAACCAGAAACAGGGAGCAAGTATGGCGCTCACTTTCTAGCTCGTTCGCGTTGCTACTTTTCTGAAGGAAAGAGCAACAGGCGGCGAGTAGATAGCGAGGAGGGTGGACCTCTAATGTATAATCCAGCCACTCGATACGGAGGGAGTTTTGTCATCGATTAAAGAAGGACAAAGTCAGCACCAAGAAGAGTACTACAGTCTTCTGAATCCTCTATTCAGGGACTTCGTATGTCGGAAATTGAAACAGTTTTCGAACGAGGACAAGTTTGATAAAGTTGGGTTTGTCTTGCGAGCGGATGGGTTTGGGCCTTTACAGTCGGAGCTGCAAAAGTTTCTTGCAGGGGTACAGGACTAAGAGAGGAATCTTCGGGGAAGGATTGGGAGAGAGGTGATAGGTTGGAGGGATTTTGAATGTTAGGACCAAGGGACATCGTCTGAAAGGTGCAGTCTTTATATACTGTTCCGAGGATGTCTGGGAAAGAAGTGAAAGGACTCGGATCGGAGAAGATGGAGAAGAAGGGATCCGGGAAAAGAGCAAAGGGTTCGGCTGGTGATAAATTGGAGAAACCGAACGCAAAGCGGAGCATTGTGGTGGTGGAGGATGAAATCCGTAAGAATCTTTTGGAGGATGAAAAGGATCAGAGTGGGCTGCTGGAGGCTGTAGCTCGAAAGGAGAAGGGCGAAGCCTTCGGTTTGGGTAAGGTGGAGCGCCAGAAGGATGGCAAAGGAGTAAAAGCAGGTGGCTTGGATATTATGGAGAATCATGGAGGAAAGCGCTCCATTGTACTGGTTGAGGATGAGGGTCGTGGGACTTTTTCGGAAGGAGAGGACGATCCTGCTAGTATGTTGGAAGCTATGGCGATGAAAGAAAAGAAGAAGAAGAAGAAGGCGCCCCAGATCTATTTTGAATTGGAAGTCGCTGAGGATGCAGAAGCGAAAGAAGAGAAGGAAGAAGCTCTAGAAGAGGCGAAGAAAATCTTGATGGGTGCTGGTCTTTGGAAGGAGAAGAAAATTAAATCGAAAACAGCCGACGAGATCGAGCTGCTCGAACAGCGAAAGCGTACCACGGTGCATTATGATAAAAATTTGCTCGGGTTGCTTCTGCTTGTCTCGTCCTTTGTCTTTTCTTAATGAAGAAAAAGCATGGATGGAGGTTAAGTAGCAACATCGTGGGGAAAGTTCTAATTTTGAGAGGAGATCGTTGATCTCGATAAGAAATCTAAGGCGGTGGTGGATAAACTTGCCGAGAAACGTCTCTGGATGAGCTTGGCCAAGCAAGTTCAAAATCAAGCATCACCTGGGATCCCGATCAAGACTAAACACTCCTACAAACTCCATTCTGCATCAGGTAAATTTATAGAATTCTTTGTTGATTATCATTAGAAAAGTATCTTCATTAGAAAAGTATCTTCTTATGTAAAAAAAGTAGATGAGTACTTCTTATAGATAAATAAATACTAGATCCTTCTTATTATCTGAGTGCTTCATAGTGTGAATAATAGTAGAAAATGCCGATAAACTTTTCTGATGCGTTCCTGGGAATGGAACCTGGGAAGCGAGTTCAAGCTGCTTCACAAATGAAGCAATGCCAGTACTGTGGGGAATCTTTTCATTCTCGTGGACTTCATTCCCACGAGAAGAGCTGCCTCGAAAAGCAGCTTCGAAAAGCTCAGGAGGGTAAGAGTTCTTAGCTCTTGCTTGTAGAATTGTTGAAGTAGTAGGTAAGTTGGATCCTTCTTGGCTTTGGTTTGAGCAGGTAGCTTCTGATCCATCCCTTGATGGATTAGAAAAAGGGCACTTTTTTTATTTGGTCGATAGGGGTACCCCTATCGACCGTTTAAATACGTAAGCCCCATCAGATAAAGGACTCCGGGGAGATTGAGTCGTATATATTCTACCAATTAAAACAAAATCTATCTATTTTTTCCTCCTGGTTCGGCTTCCAATGTACGAACTTTTTCAGGGAAAGCCTTCCCTTCTTTTTAGGCTTTTCTTCTATAATCATCATTAAAAATTCATCATTTTTTTAATTGTTTCAACCTATATAAAAAAATCTCAAAATATTAATGCCAACATTAAAATGTTGGCGAGAACGTTGGCAGACTTTAAGAGCATGGAATTATGAATTCCTGCCAACCTGCCACCATATTAATAATAAAGGAGAATAAATATGTATTTTCTTTATATTATTTCGGTGGCAGGTTGGCAGAAATCCATTATTCCATGCTCTAAAAGTCTGCCAACGTTATTGCCAACATTTTAATGTTGGCATTCCTATATTTAATTAATTTACGTATATTTAATTTAGTTACATAAAATTGTTAAAAAAAAATATCGTTTGCTACTTCTTCTTATTTAATTAATCTCACCCAACCGTAAGATCTCTCCCCAGAAGGGTAGAGATTTGTCCTACAAGCTTGAGGATGTTCTCTAGTGCTATGACTTCCTTGGCTTCATGGATTTTCCAAGGAGAACCAAGCGAAAAAAGGAACGGACATAGGACCCACCACGATTCCTATGGAGCACCAAGCAAGTCAAAGCACTGGGTTGGCTTGATTGGTTCCACGTGCTGGATCCAATTGGACTGGGTGCATTTGCTTCGTTTTTTTGTAGCTGGATCAATCTGCTCCAGTAGGTAGGACCAACGCAACCAACTCAGGCAGCTGGGTCGGATCTGCCTCACCTGGTTGCGTTGGTCCTACCCACTGGATCGGATCGATCCAGCTACAAACAAAACCAAGCAAATGCACCCAGTCCAATTCGATCCAGCATGTGGAACCAATCTAACCAACCCAGGGCTTTGACTTGCTTGGTGATTCCTATGGAGCACCAAGCAAGTCAAAGCACTGGGTTGGTTTGATTGGTTCCACGTGCTGGATCGAATTGGACTGGGTGCATTTGCTTCGT